TAAAAAACTTATGGAATATGGTTGAAACATATAGGTCTCGATCCTCGGGCGAATTCACCATCCCGGTCAAATCTCCTTCACTAGAGAAATGCAATTTAAGCCCTAATCTCTTCAAAAATTCAGAAGCTTTAAGTCCAAATGAAATCTTAAACCTTGGGACCCTGAATTCTCCCACTTTAATTGGGTGATTAGAAAGGTGGCTTTCTAAGAACCCGGCACCTTCTCTATCAAAGAATGCAGACCGTCTTTTTCATCTTGAATAAAGAAATACATGGAGAAATAACGCTTGTCTTCACCTTGTTTATATGGAAGTCCTAAGACTTTGAAACCTTCATATGATCCAACAGTTTGCTTCTTTTTGCTGGTCATAAAAGACGCCTTAATAGAGTTGCCATTAATAAGGTGAAACTCATGCTCTTTTGTTTCTGATGCATCGAAAGCTTGATTCCAAGCTCCTTTAAAATAGAGTGCATTAGCGAATATAAGCCTGGTTGAAGCATCAACCGATCCTGGAGGAAGAACTTCTTTAATAAGACCATCAGTTTCCTTCTCATCCCACAAATTTACTTCCCCAACCACTTGAACAAGCTTCAAAGAAATACGAAAGTTTCATGAAGGACCATATTTAATTATCACAAAGGTCGTGATTCTGTAGGGCTTTGTGGTGGTTGGAAGAGTTTTGCGAGTGACAACAATTTAGTAGAACATGACGTGTGTGTATTTGAGCCATATAATATGGGAAAAAACCTATCTTCCTGTATGTTTGCATCTTTCAGGTTCTAGATTCAATGGCTCAAGCATTAGTTCCTCTGACGACAGACCCTGTCTCTTAACCGAAAGAACCAGCAGAAGTATCATCTCTAGGTACGACTTATATAGATGTTTGATATGTTTTTAAGTCATAGTTTTAAAAATTATTTTGTAAATTATGTATGATGAGATGGTTATCATTCTGTCATTGTACCACGTTTCGATTTCTGTGAGCCTTGTTGCTAGTGGTATGATTAGAATTTATTTTGCTGTCTAAGCTCGCTCTAGCTAATCTCTTATGAAGTGAGGCCTTTTAAAAGTTACATACGCATTTACCTGCATGCATTTCTTTTTTTTTTGGATAAATGAAAATTTCTTATTCATCCAAAAAGAAACCGTATACAAACCACAAATAAAGACAAATCCCCAATACAAACCAAACACAACAGACCAAGCTAAAAACCCATAACCAATGAAACCAATAAACAAATCACCAATAACAACAAACCAAAAGAAAGCGAAAAAACTAAAACAACCTTCATTCGACGGTAAGCGAGTCGGAGGCGATTGTAACTCTACACCTTCCCCTGAATCTCCCCACCAACAAAACCTTAATCACAAAGATACCATCAACACTTTGAGCCCCACCACAATGTAACCTGCCATTCTGTTCCTACCAAATATAATAAGGATAAGCGCACCAAGCCAGACGAATAACAACCGCCTTCAAAGATTTCCCCTGACCACTCTTGCACCCAACTTACCATACTTGTCTAGAGTAAAAACAACTCGCAAAAAGATAATCCCTAGACTCACTCTCACAACTGCACAAAACACAGCTCGAATCAATACTAAATCCCCAGGATAACATCCGAGCCATAGTCGGAAACCGATCTAAGAGCACAAGCCAAGCTAGAAGAGAAAATCGAGGAATCGTCACTCCCCCTAAATGATCTTTCCCCACAGGACTTTTTCCTTCTTACAACGTAGAACATCCCACACTTTCCTTGCCTGAAAAGCCCAATCTAATCCACCAACAAGTGCATAGTCATCACGCAATTTCAGAATCTTCTTCCAAGCCCAACTATCACAACTGCGCGGAGAAACTCACCATACAGAGCAACCCTTTAGGACATACCTCTCAATCCAAGCCAGCCAAAGGGAACCAGTCTGCACAAAAAAGACCCATAAACAACGCATCATACAATCTTTGTTCCAAGCGCACATATTCTTCAACCTAAGCCCCCTCACACTTAGGATAACAAACCTTCTCCCAACTAACTCGGACCCCTCTAGCTGATCCATCCGAACATTTCCAAAGAAAATCATTACAGGCCCCCTCAATGCGCTTCAAGATCTTAGACAGCAGAAAAAAAACTCGACACCAAAAATTCTGAATACTAAAGATCACAAATTGAATAAGCTGCAATCTTCCTGCAAACGAAAGACATTTAGATGGAGAACTACGGATTCTATTAATAGTCTTATCAAGCAAGCAAGAACAATCCGAGCAAGCAAGATTACGAGACATAAAAAGAACCCCCAAAAGGCCACCAACACGGTAACACGTGAGTTCAACCATCCTATGCAACTTCATCTAACTAATTCCAGAGCAAAATAACTCACTCTTTGATACATTCATCTGTAATCCCGACATCCTGTAAAAAAAGGTCCATAATACCCTTAACAGCCAAAACATTCTCCACATTCCCCTTAGTGAACATATGAAGATCATCCGCAAAGAAAAGGTGAGTAAGCCAACACGTTTGTACTTTGAATGACAGTCCAACACACCATGCTCACCTGCCAAATTAAACAACCTCGACAGAACATTCATTACAACAATGAAGATATAAGGAGACAAAGGATCACCCTATCACACACCTTTAGCCCCAAATAATAAACCAACCAAACCCCCATTCAACCCAACAAAAAATTTCGAGCGAGTAATACAAGCTTCCAACCAACCTCTAAACTTCTTGAAAAACCCCAAATCCCTAAACACCTACAATATAAACTTCCAATTCAAAGAATTAAAAGCCTTCCTAAGATCAATCTTCAAAGCACACCAAGCAGACAAATGCTTCCTACCATAACCCTTCACTAGCTTTTGAGCAAGCATCACATTTTCAACCAAATCCCTCCCAACAAGGAATGCACTCTGATTAGGTAGTACTAAACTCGGCAGCTAAACCTTCATTCGATTTGCTAGGATTTTAGTAATACATTTATAAATAGTGGTGCAACATGAAATAGGGTAAAAGTCAATCGCAGCTATCGGGGCAACCACTTTAGAAACAAGTGTAATTATAGTTGAATTAAATCCAACAGGCAACTAAGACGACATAAAGAAATACTTTACCACATTAAAAAAAAATCTTCACCAACAATCCCCCAAGTAAACTTAACAAAATTTACGAGATACCTATCCGATCCAAGGGCTTTATTTCCATTCATAGAAAATAAAACATCCCTTACCTCCCTAGAGGACACATGAGCAATCAAACTATCCATCGCATCAGATGGAAGCTCAGTACCCAAAATCTCCTGAAGTAAATCATCTGAAACCAAATTCACATTTTCATCCACAGTTCCTAAGGCATTAAAGAAATGACGAATCAACTCAGCTGATATGTCCTCAAATTTCTCCAGCATACACCCCTGAGGATCCTAAAGAACCTGTATCGAATTAAATTTCTACCTAGTTGTAACTTGCCTGAAAAAATAGGCAGTATTCTGATCCCCTCAGCAATGAACTGAATCTTCAACTTATGCCTTAGAAACAACTCCTCAGCCCTACACAGAGTAACTACCTAACGATTAACCTCCTTCTCACGAGAAATATTTTCAGCAGTGGGGGAATTTAACACCAACTTTTGAACCTCCTCTAACTACCTTCATGTATTTTATTCAGCTTGATTGATGAACTTCTCCACATCATGATATTATATAGTAAGACTGCAATAACGACTTTACATGTGGTCTGGAGCAAATACTGATACTACACCTGTAAAAAAACGATGGTTTGGTTAGTTTTACGTTGAGTCAATTTCAAGTCGAGTTGATCTGGGTCAATCGGGATCTGTGTCAATCGGGTTTGGAGCTTGGGTTTTTCATTGGATCATTCCGAGTTCAATACGAGTTAGGATTATTTCATGTTTGATAATTTCATTTTAATTTAATATACAAATTAGTTTGAATCAATCATTTTCATAATTAAGTTATTTATATTTTTATAGACCTGTCAAATTTGACCCGAACCCGATCATCTGAACCGAGACCCGAACGCGATGACCTAAATTTGACCTGAAACTCAAAAAAACCGAATCGAACCGAAATCGACCCGAATTTTAGCCAACCGAAAGTAACCCGAACCGAACCGAAACTGACCCGAATTTAACCAAACCAAAAGTAACCCGAACCGAAAGCAACTAAACCGAAAATAACGTGAACCGAAATTAACCCGATTTTAATTTACCCAAACATGATCTTTTTTACAAAAATATATCAATAATTCTATATATACTTGATTTGACTTATACCCAACTCAACCTGAATTGACCTAAATCCAAAGTTGACCTAAAACGAAAATAATTGATCGGATATTGACCTGACCCAAAAATCAACGGATCCGATATGATCTAACTCAAAATCAACTGATCTGATATTTGACTCGACCCGATACCTGACCCGACTTACTATAGACCTGAATAAACCCGAAATGACCCGACCCGACTTACTATAGACCCGAATAAAACTGAACCCATAAATGACCCAATCCGACCCAAACCTGACACGAATTAAGTCTAAACTGAAATGACCCAAACCGAAGTGGCCCGAATCGAACCCAATCCGAAGTGGGCTGAATCGAACCCAATCCGAAGTGGGCCGAATCGAACCCAATCCGAATGACCTATTTGTCACTTGTATATTTTTAGTCGAATATTTTTTAGTTTGACTATTAAAGTTAATAAAGTTCAAATTCAAAAGTATTTGTTTTATTAAATATTAAAGTTTTCAAATAACTTACTGTCTTAATAAAAATGTACTTATTTTATTAAAACGATAACGAGAATTTACAAGTAATAAATGAAATCAAAAAGTATACTTCAATTAAATTCAAATATATCAGATTCAGATTGTTTGCTTTTATGATACAATAAAATTTGGATCTTTTAAATTTAAATCATAATTGACAGGTCTAGATGCTACCTACTTCTGCAGAGGTACAAAAATTGAGTTTCGAGTTTTGTGCCTTAGGCAAAAATCCAACATTAATGTCAGATAGTTCCAACTTCCAACAATGATCAAACTTTCAAACTACAAAGTAGATCGAAATCCAAAGTAGACAACGGGGCAGCCCGAGGGAAGAACCACAGAAGAAACATGCGAAGAGTAATTGATGGACAACGAGTGTATCGCTTCAAACAACTAATGGTATTGAAGGCCGTAAACATAGCTACTCATGCAGAGGGTCTTTGGCATGCAGAAAACAATTGCCAACTAAAGAAAGCCATCACCAAAGATGTGAATAATTCGAAGCCTACCACCTCTGGAAAGTGCCATCCCAAACCTCGCCTTAAGTAGCTGCTTAAGGAAAACAATTTCCATTTGAGTTATTAATGCAAAAACCAACATATATACATATATATATATAATAAAGAAAGAAAAAAGCAGTCGGAAGATGTAGTGACAGAGTTAAAGGAGACCTTGTAATAGATGGCATGGTTGCCACAATTCCAGCACATGCATATATTACGGGAATCAAAGTCTTAGGCTTGTTCTTTCGAAGCCAAATCAAAGATCCCAATGCTGCGAGAGATATACTCAACACCTAAAATGAGCAAAGGATACAGATGTCCATAGGGAGAGCTATAATTAGAAATTACACTCTTCATTAGAGAAACAGAAATCTAAAATCCTGATGCTATACAATCATTGTTTTAGTTCCAGAAACACCTCATGAATAAATCGCCGATACAGAAGCAATGATGTCCAACAAAGCAATTCCAAGAACAGTGTCCCAAGTCCAAGCATAAAAGAAATTAACATACCAAATTAGCATTTGCTTCCAGGCCTTGTAGAATGTAATCCCAAGTGAATTCTAGCCCCTTAGCTCCCACCCAAAGAGGTGCCAATCTATGTAGAACAGAGTCAGCAAAAGCCCATCCTATCAACATGGAAAGAAGTAATTAAGGTTAGTGAAGAAAAAACCCCAGCAAAATAAACTCTTATCATGGGCAAAACTAGCGCTGAACATTCATAAAAAAAAGGTACTGGCAGCACTGCTCTAAAATTAAGGTATTACTTCATGAATGCTTCAAAATGGAACAATGAGTGATAACATCTGAACATTTTATTAATATCATGATATTTATTTGTTATAAAGATCACACTATAACCATAGTAATTCACTCATCAATTATTTGGATAACCTGATGCACGGTGACATCCTTAAGGGTCAAAGCCACAAATTTAAAATGGTGATATTTCTTTTCTCTAATTTTCATTTGGAAGGGGCGGGGTGGAGATGTATTAGGAAGGGTGCAAAACTGAATTTCAACTTTAAAAACTTGAAACAAAATCTCACTCACCAAGTCCAACAGCTTGAAATTTATGAATTTGAGAGATATTCCTGTGTGTCAACTGTGTTAAGGCAAAATAAAGTCCAGCAACATCTATAAAACCAATCAGCACTTTCAAGAGTTCCTGAAATTGCATGGCAACAAATTTCTCCATGAGTATAAAATGTATACTATTCATAAGGACCCATGACAGTATTACGATCCCTATCTCTAAAAGACCCTTATGCAACTGCAGTTAAGAATGTAGTAAAGGTTTACATTCGGTTCTAGCTAATAACATCATCAAATCAAACTGCCACTAACTACAACAAAAACTGGAAATCATTTAAAATTAGAGCAATATCTGCATCCATCCATCCATGCAGATTCCATTAATTCCAGAAAGAAAGAAAAAGAAAAGAAATACCTGATATGGGTCAAAGCCATCGTTCTCAGACACCTGCAAAAACGTTGCAAGGCAAACAAGCTGCCCGCATAGAAAGAAAACAAAACAAATTAACTATCCAAAAACACTTGATATAAACATCAATGAGATTGAGATTTAGCACAGAATTTAGGGACGCTGATATTTTCAAGCTGTACTGACCTTTACCAAAACTGTTCCTAGATAAACAAGGGCGGCTTTAACAGAGGTACCAAAAGTATCATACTCCGATCTGCATAAGCATAAGAATAAATCATTAAAAATTACACTGATTTGTATGCGAAACAGTAGTACAGTACCATAATTTAGAAGAAAATATCAATTCCCCCAACAAATTTCAGTAACTAAATTCTAAAAAATCAACTACCTAATATTATAAATTTTCCACTACGCCTAATTACTTCCAACTTATAGGCTTATAGCTTCCGAACATTTTAATCAAAATATTTTAACATTTTTCAGAACAAATCTTATCTCATTTTTCTCTTATTGTAGATAGATCTGTTCTTAAAAGAACAAGACAATTTTTTTCCATCGATGATTTTTTCCTAGTCTCAACACAGATCAAAGTTTAAGTTCTAAGCAAAGCTCACTTCCATAGAAAAATAAGAAATTGCAGATGCTATAAAAAGAAATATATCACAAATTACATAAAAAAACTAGGTAAAGGTCGAGTAAAAGGGGAGGCGGAACGTACAGGGTAGTGGCGGAGTAGTAGACGGCGTGTGGACCGAAGGTGAGAATGGCACAGTTGAAGAAGTGAAACATCGTCATTTTCCCTTTTCCCAGTGTTTTTGCAAGTTTCAATTCCAGGTTTCAATTTTTTTTGCGATGCTTTGCTCGTCCGCTTCAACTTAAAATCGGATCGAGAATGAGTGATCTGTTTTTCAAGTGGGCTGCTAAAGAACCCGTTACATTTCGAGCCCTGAAGAAGCTATTCAGGTTTTTCAGCTAAATAGCATGTTTAAATTTAATTATAGAAATTTAATATATGTTTTGAATTATAAAACAACTTTTCGTGTAAATTTATTTTTATAAATAATAAATAAATAAAATGTAGAGTTGAAGGTCGAATCCCCAAGAATCAAAATTCTTGCCAAAACATCAAGTTCTACGGTTATGGATGATAAGGACTGGGTATGGATGCTATATGTTTTGATATTTATACCAGAAGCCCCAAAAATAAAATCCTATTTGAGATAGAAATCCAATGTTTTACAATAGAAATCCAATTTGAGTTTGGTTTGGATCTAATCTAGGCCTATAAATACCCCCATCAACTCTGTGAATTAAGGGTATATTTCCGGATATCAAATATTATTGATTTAAAATTTTAGATATTCAAAAATTTGGATCATTAAAACTATAAATTGTATTTGATCTAGAAAAATTGAATTTCTGATTTTGTGGATTGGATATTCAGATATTTGGATTCGAACACAACATTTAATTTGAATGATAAGAAAAAAATAAGAAAAACGGAGAAAAAAAGAAAGAAAATGAACTTTATAGGAATACAAAATGGCATCATGTTAGTTTAAATTGTGTTTTTTTATAATGTTATTTAAATGGTGTTTATCATATCACAATATTGTTAACTATTTAATGATAAAGTGATGAAAATAAGAACAATTCAAAAGTTTAATAATTAAATTAAAATAAGTTTAGATTTCAATGATAAAAAATAAATGTGTGGTAAAGTTTAGTGATAAAATGTATAATTTACCCAAATAATTTTTTCACAAGCAAGCTCTTTAAATGGTGACACCAACTATCTATCCAATCTAGCAAGATGAGAGTCTTGATCTCATAAATATAATGTTAAAATTTTAAAGTCACGTTGTGAATGGAGTAAGTTGAAGTCGGAGGGTTATTCGTATAATAAATCTATGTAATGTCTTATTTGAACATTCAAATGATTTATGGACAATAAATACTATCATATTTATTTTTTATTTTAAAATTTTAAATAAATATGAAAAGCACTTCATGTGATTTTATCTCGTTTTTGAAAGGAAAAAAAAATCATTGACGGTACTATATATATATATATATATATATATATATATAAAAGACACTTCGTTTAGAAATTAAAATATATAGAATATCTCAGCTTGTTGTTCTCACTCTATATATATACACAACAATTTTTTTCCCTCCCGGTTCTAGGGTCCCGTCTTGATTAATTCGGACCGATCAGGGTCGTACACTTAGTTTTGGCGGGAGAATCTCCTAGCGGGATTTTCTGTATACACAAAGACTCAAACCTACTAAAGTTATATCAAGATACTTACTACTTAAACCAACTTTGTTGGTATATATACTAATATACACACAAATTAATCGTACTTATCCCTTACCTTCCCAGGTTCCATTCACACTCGAATTATAATCGGTTTAAACGGTCTGGTTTATGTGCTAATCATGCAAGGTAAATATAATGTGTGTGTCAAACAGTCTAATTTATTATATTAATTGTTTTTAAATAAACTATACATTATTGTATTAATTATTATACAACGTGTGAAATGTAACAAATCGCTTATTCCCAAACAGGAATTTAGGGTTTGATGTCATTTTCATGTCATTATTTTACAAAGCAAAGTCTATGGAATTACAGAAATGATGTAATCATCTTAAGCAAAGTTCGTAGACTTTTGAAAAACTAATAATTTTGAAGCATCATGAGGATGTTTTTATTCCTCCATGAAAGTGAAACGTGGAGAATTTTAATTAGTCGATGTCGACATTGTCAGCTTTAGTTTTATTTTCTTTGGATCGAGGTCAGCTTTATTTTTCTCACATTCTATTAATGAGGAGTTTGACATCTTACCATGAATAAGAAACAAATTACTTTCTGACAATAATAGAAAGAAAAAAAAAAGAGAAAAACATACAACTTCTGTTTTTTGGACCTAAAAAAGAATAAAATAAAATGTGTTGATGTGGTCCAAAGGACAGTGTCACGAGAATGTTGACAATGTACCTGCCTGTAACACTACAGGGAATACAAATTTATTACTTCGTTGAATTGGCAAAAGAAAGAATAAATTAAAACGAATATGAGAAATACACGAGAGTATGCATGAGGTCACCAAGATGCAATACAATCAAGTTATATTTACTTTTTTTCAGAGTTTAATTAAAATTATTGGTTTATTTTACTATTATCATAAATCAACAAAAAAATTAATTACGTTTTCAAAACTTGAATTTAGGTATTTTACATAGTTTATATTGGTGTATTTTTAAATGTTGTTGCTGTATTTTACATATATTTATTTATATTTGATATTTCATGTTTATCCAAATTTAAATTCTCCTATATAACAAGTGGAATGCACTTACCATTATATCCAACAAAAGTTGATAATTTAAAATATTTTTACATGTATCAAGATCTCATCCAAACAAGAAAAACAGCACATCACCGTTTTAGGAAAATTCCTTATTTTTGAATTGTATGAATTAATTTTTGAATATGAGGACCAGCCGAATTTTCCACTGGTCACTTGTAGATCCCAACAAAGAACTGATTGCGTGCACATGAGCTGGCCGGAAAGTGGGTCGTCATCTGATGTACAAAACAGCAATTCTTCATGTGAGTGTAAAGAAGTTAATAAATTGATGCGAAAAAGAATTTGTAAATAGTTATAAACGTGATCAAATTTAATAAAATTTAAAGACGAGAGACTAATTTGAAAAGTAAAAAAATTATTGTCAACAAGAGTAGTTTAGCTATACATGTATTCTAAAGAGTTTGAGGAGAATTAGATTTAAATTTGGTCAAAATTAAACTTAAAACAAAAGAGGAGTTGAAGAAGAAAAAAAGAAAATTAGAGGTCAAGTTGCAAATATTAATTTAAACAAATTAAAATTAAAAAAATAATCAAATTAAAATTTTCACACTAACTTCGCTGTCTGCCTTTTCGGAAGAGTGTTTCTTAAGACTACTTTTCGATCATGTCCACCTTTTTATTTGCTGCATGCATCATTCCTTTCTGTCCGATTAATTAGTTAGGAGTGATAATAGACTTTTTTTCAGAAGAAAAAAAAAGGGTTAAAAAGTATTAAAAATGAAATGCAATATTATTTCAAAATAAGTCTAAAAATGGTTTTTACTAGCTTTGTTGGTTGGACTGACATTCTGGTCCAACTTTTGAACATTCATTATGATAAAGTGGGAGGGGATATGTGCTTTCTTGTTTGGCCAATGACCAGGAATTCATCCATCAGCTTTCAGTTTTCACGCTTAACCCGATGAGCCCCCCTCTCATGACATAGATTTTGACTCCACATAAATATCGGAGACAATCAGGGAGGGGCGGTAAATAGAGACGAGATAATTTGTAAGTTATTTGAGTTTAATTTGATTAAAGTTTGATCAATACTCAAATCGAATGAATTCAATTTGAGTTGGAATTCGATTCGAGTTCTTAATGAACTGAAAGGAGCTATTTGATACCTCATTCGAAAACCTCAGAGTAATTCAAAAAAAAATATGTTAAAATTTTCATTTTAAAATCAAATTATTAATAATATTAATATTTATATGTTATCTTTAAATACAATATAAGTTATTATGTACTTAAGATTCGAGCTCGAGTTCGATCTTCAATCGACATAAGTCTGAAAATATTTTGAGTTCATATTTTTTCAAACTCGAGTTGAATTTTAATTTTTATTTTGAGTTCAAATTGAGTTTGATAATTTCAAGGTAGTGAGCTCTTTTATTTTAAAAAAGTATGAGTTCGTAAACTTTCAAATCGAATCAAACTCATCTTTAAACTTTTTAAGTCGAATGAAGCTCAACTCGGGTCACAACACTAGTTAGACAACGGTTCAGTAAACTGAAGCGAGGCTATTTTTTGTTTCTTTCATTTTTCACTTTCTATTTAGTACCTTTCTTCTTATGCAGCCCTAGCAGGAGTCTAGTCTAGAGAGCTAGACTGACATCACAACATACAACAACGAACCCAAATAAAAAGAATTAATGGAGCTCTTTCTATATACGGAAGCATGTTGTAAGCATCGTGTAAAATGATCATCAAACCGAGTTTCGTTTTCTTCTGTTATAGTCGGTACTATATTTCGCTTTCTTGATGTTTTAGGTAATCGCCAAGCTGAGCTGTGGAAGTTGACGAAACCAGCCGGCGAGGCCTCTAGTCTAGGATAGTAACACCAAGATCAGAATTCAAATCTATTACATGTACAATATGTAAGGAAAGGGATAAGATTTCAAGTCTCAAGGTCGGAAATCGTTTTCAAGTCTTATTTTTACTTGGTCTCAACAGCAGCTAAAAATAAATATATCGTTAGGGTTGCGTAGGTTCTGACTTCATTCACCTTAGTAAATATAGGAGTTGTGCCGATATTTATTTGACTTGTTTGTTTATAATGCTTTCTTCTCTGCTCAAAACCCGTTTCACATTACTTTGGAACCCTCTCTTTTCCGCTTTACAGCCGAAAAGAGGTTTGCCTACCCTTCTGATATCTTTTAATTACATTCACCATCATTTATCAATTATTGGACCTTTTTAAATGCTTGCTTTGACCAAAGTTTTGTTCCCTTTTTACCCTATTAATGTCAAATACTGTGATGATAGCAGTTTTCTATAATAAGTAAAACCCATAATTTAATCTAATCCATTACTTTATTTACATGGTTTGAATTCAAATTTCACTTCATTTATATAGATGAGTGTTTTTCTAGTTATTTGTAAATTAACGAGAAATAATTGTGATTAAGATGTTAAGTAAGTTAAGACAGAAGAAAATTTATGCATTAATTTATGCATGCAAGCAAAAGCATCAAATTAAGACAGAAGAAAATTGT